GAAACCCCAATTGATGGTATCTACAAACGCATTTGATGGTGTTTGGGTTCAATTCACTCTAGTTGGGCCAGTCCACACATCATTTAATTAAAAGCCCAAAGAAGGTTTAATCCTCTCAAAGCATGCCAAGTCAGTCGATGGTCCAGCCACTTGATCTCAAGGCCCATTTATCTATTGAGCAAAGGTATAAAAGCCTTCAATTGTCTATCTTTACATTCATTCAATTCAAGCCTCAAGAAATTAATTCTCTTGCATAGCTTTCTCTCTCTAAACACTGTATTGACTTCGGCATCGGAGGGGCCTTCCTCGGCTAGTTTACGTGTGTTTGCTGTGCAGGAAATCCTCGGCCCAGTCATCACTTGGATCGAGATCAGTCTTAAGCCCCCCAGAAAAGGACCAGTCGAGGTACCTATTGTTTTCACCCGAAACAGATTGTATCTAGAAACCTAGTTGATTTGTCACACTTTTTACCAATCTTATCTCATAATTTCAATCCAATTATAGATTTTTCCTCAAATGGTGGCTAGCCATAAGACATTTACTAATCCAAATTCAATAAAATCAATGCACTTTGTCAATTTTCCGTCATTATCTAATCCTTATTCAGTAAAATCAACAATTATGACAATTAATTATGGTTAATTATTGACAGACAAAAAATAATTAGAGCAATAAATTTCTCATCAACAATTATCCCAATTTCTTCGGACACAATTTTTGTGGACCTAAAAAATACACCATTTCCTTCCTACCATACATACAACAATAATTGTTCTATAATTTTAAACAATTTTTACTAACATTTGGAGATCGAAATTAATGAACACACGCCCACAAACAAATACAATTGAAAAGGAAAATTTGAGTTACCTGTAATGTTTCACCGTCATCGAAGTCCGGAATTGGGATTTCACCATCATCGCAGTCCAAAATCGGGATGTTCAAATCCAACAACGCCCCCATTAACAGTTAATTTCGATAGTATTTGCTGAAATTATGAAGTTGGTATTTTGTTGTATTTTTGAATTACCGAGTCCATTTCGCCATTTCCTTCTATGTTCGTTCGAAATTTGGGCCAAATTTGTAAAGATATGTAGCTGCGGTTTCGGTGAGAAAACGTTGGAGGGAAAAGAAGGCAAAAGATAGAACAAGCATAATAAATCTGTTGTTTTAGCGCCAATTTTTGGCGCTAATTACCCACACGTGTTTTCGACTCCATTTGAGGAAATGGAGAAGAAAGACCTCAAAGTTGCAGATTTTCTTATTTTTTTTTAAAATGGAAATGGAGAAGAAAGGCCTGTCCTTTTCAACCCATTTCCCCAACCTTACTTTTTGGTTTACCCCCAGCCTTGGTTTTTGGTTTTGCTTTTCAATTTCCTTTTTTTTTTCTCAAGTGGGTAAACAGTTAAAAGACGGTTATGCCCTTATCAGAGTCATGGATGACACTAATTGCTAGAGTTCTAGAAATCCTCTACATTAGGGGCCGTTTGGTTCGCAATGTGGAATCAGAATGGAATGGGGAGAGGGTATGGAGGAGAATGAAATGAAACCCTTGAAATTTAGGGTGTTGTTTGTTAAAAAAAACAAAGGGAATGATTTCATAGAACCACCACCACAGCACCACCATTTAGGGTATTTTTTTGACTTTTTTTTTGGAATTTGGTAGTTTGGAATTCTGACGGCGACCAACGAGGTCGGGAAAGGGTGGATTAAGGTCGGGGGAGAGCCGACGAAGGTGGAGCGAGGTCGGGGGAGAGTCGGCGAAGGTGGAGCGAGGTCGGGGGAGTGCCGGCGACCATCCGGCGAGGTTGGTGGGATGTGGGTATGGTGGTGGTTGGGGAAAGGGAATGGTAAAGGTAGGGGGGTGGGGAATGGGGGTGGACTAAAAATGGGTAAACCCAAAAATAAAAAGGGAAAAAGGAATGAAAGAATATCGCTAACAAATGACAACAAAGAGATTCATTCTGTAATACCCCAAATTTTTTAGTATATTTAATCAACGATTTTTCTAGTATAGAGTTTTGAATTTATAGTTAATTTTCAAATTATATATTAAAAAAAAATGATTTTGAAAAATTTATAAGTATTATTATTTTCGAATTTATTAAAAAAAAAAAAAAAAAACTGATTTCGGATGTTTTCAGAAACTGATTTAAAAATTTAAGCTTATCTTTTCAAGAACTTTGAATTGAGACTTATCTCCGGAATACTCTAATAAATTTAACCTAAGCTTTCTAAGTTATATATATACCTAAGGCCTAAAGCTGATACAATACCCATACCTCTCAATTTATCAAGTCGTCATTCTCGACCGGTCTTTCGTCGGTAAGCAATGGTTTTCTTATTTGATACACTGACAATGATCTCTTATCCACTCAATTTCTGTAAACTACCGCCTGTTGTTGTAGTTGACGAACTGGAATTTTTTTATTTTTTTTTTTAAAAAAGGGGGTTGTTTTCTTCAAAAAAAAAAAAAAAAAGGAGAATAAACACCATTGAAGAAGAAAACTATGGAGTTGGTGCGTGGGAATTGTAGTTCAGGAGGAGATGAATGTTGTAGTGGGCCATCAAATAAAGCAATACCTTATAATCCTAACACAGTAGACTTACAAGTGTTTCTTTTTTTTTGTTATTTCCGTGATTCCGTCTCATGCTACTACGTACTAACTTCGTATTAGACTATTAGCTATACGAGTCAGACTAATTTAGTTTTATCATCTATTTATTTGTAGACGGAGGGTACTAGGTGAACGTTTCGCAGGTTACTTACCTTGAGATTTACGCGCAACTCAAGGTAATTTTCAATGTCCATCATCTTTAGAATCCCGTTAGGAAATTGTTTTAAATTATTGTGTGCCAACTATGTGCTTACGTAATTATATGTGAGGGATGTGTTACCGTATGATATTCTGGAATTATATTATATACTAGTTTTCTATAATTGTGTACTAGTCTAATATTTTTGAAAATTTGATTATTTGGTATCGTATGAGTTTTTATATAATTACAATCTTGGGAATTGGATGATTGATTAAATGTGATTGATGGTCTCCAAGACCTCTTGAGAAACGAGTTGTAACTAGTATGTCTTATGACTATGTTTTAATAACAATGAAATTAAAATATAGTTACTTGGGATTAAATTGATTTTGTGCAATACTCATATGCAATGTGATCGGACAATTTAATTTATTTAAATGTACATTAAATTAAGAAGGGAAATGAAACCCGAAAGGGTGAAGAACAGGTTGCCCACTAGTGGTTATGGTTGCTACTAGTTGGTTTAAATTGACGTATATTGCTGTTTAGTCTTCCTCCTAATCAATGGGTATTAGTGAGGGGTGTGCACACTAAGGAATTCTGTTTAATTTATGGCCATTTGGGGTTACGCGCGACCCTATGTAAAGTAGGTAGTGACAGGGACTAGTCCCGGCTTACTAGCGTTCTCTTTCCCTTTCTTAACTAAAGTAATAATTTTATGTGGCAATTTGATTTTGACTTATTATTATAACGTCGATAAAATTGTGTTGTGTAAAATGCTTTTCGAACTAAATTTATTTATTTTACGGGATGGAGTTGGAATTACTCAGTTTATCTGATTTTGGGAGTTTTCTCTTTTTTTTCTTGTTTCTGGTTTATTTTGCAGGTTTGTAAAAAGGTACCCGGTTACGTGTGAGGAGACGTTAGAATAATCACGTAGCCAAGACATTTTAGTTAATTCTGAACTTAGTTATTTTTTTTTTTTAATATTTTAAAATGTTTTACGGTTTGAATGTAACGAATATTTTATTCTTGTCGCCACTTAGATCACTTAGTTATAAAATAGTATTTTGACTTTGCTTTGCACTTGTTTTCTATGGAAAATAAGTGTAGCAGTAACACTCTTAAGGTTCGATGGTCGGTTTTGAAAGAAAATGGTTATTCTTATCGTTTTACAAAAACCTGAATTTTGGGGTGTTACACATTCCCTTTCATTCTCTTTCCCTTTGACCAAACGCTCCCTAGAATAATTTATTAGGATCCGACAATTGACATACGTGTCTTTTTTTTTTTTTTTTTTTTAATAGCAAAAATATTTCATTAATTAAAAGTCATACGACATCTACAATAGAGATTCAACGCTAACAAATACATAAGATATTGAATCAAATAAAATTTTCCCTTATAAAAACTACGATCGTCGAGTAGATCTTGCATTGTGGAACATTTCCCGCTTATATCGCTGGAAAATACAGCCTTGTTGGAGAGACAATCTAACGATCCTTTGTAGCCGTGAGGATGTTTTTCTTCTGATTCATATGTCTGTATTCGAAAACTTGATAACTTTTTCATCAACGAAATAATTTCACGACAATCCATTAGATCTAATATCATGGATTCAAAACTAAGAAATTCCTCTCCCAAAAAGAGGAGATAAACCTTGTCTTTCGAAGGAGGTTGAAAAACCCTTTTCTTTCGAAGGAGATTGGAAACCCTTTCTTTCGAGGGAGAAAAATTCCTCCCAAAAGGAGGAAGCATTATTATAAACTAGACCTGATCAAGTATGGCCCGCCCCGTTGGCCCGACCCGACCCGATTTTGGGCGGGCTTTGGGCAGAAATTTTCGGCCCGAAATCGGGTTGGGCCCGACCCGGAATTTTTATTTTTTTTGGGCGGGTTTGGGAATGCGTTTTAAAGCATATTTAGTTGATTTTTTAGGCCCGGCCCGAAAAGCCCGCACGGCCCGACCACTTTGGGCGGGTTTGGGCACAAAAAATTCGGCCCGAAGCTTGGTCCGGCCCGAGAAGTGGGCAAATTTTTTTAGCTTCCGCCCGACCTGACCCGCCCAATGATCACCTCTATTATAAACCTAAAAAAACTATAAAGAAACAAGGATTGGGGCTTTCCACCGGTTAAAACCGATGGAAGCCCCTTCAAAATTCAACAATGGAGGCTAGGGTTTTGGAGAGAGGAAGGAGGAGAGTATTAGTTTTAATAATACGTGTCTTTAATCTACTAGTAAATAATCTTCCTCCCATGTTTTCATTTTTTTCCTTTGGAAATTTTCACTCCCCCTTTTCTCTCCTGCATTGAAACATACTCTGAGTTCTCATTGAAGCGGTTTTTAAGCTTTCTCCCTTCCATTGAAGCAGCTTCTGAGGTAAGATATTTTTTTTAAGAATCGAATATCAACTTCACAACCTAGGGTTTGGTTTCGCATATGGTTAATTTGATTGTCCGTATAGTCAATTTAGGGTTCTTCTAACGTTGATTATTGAACTATTGGCTTTAATTACTTAATTCATGAGCGATTATATAGCTGGAATTTTTCTATTTGCACTTTGTGTTATTATTGAAAAGAATTTTATGTGATTTTTCGAGCCTAATATGAATTTTGAGTCAAACTTTTAATGATAGGAAGGAACTATGAATATGGACCTTTCTCCCTGGCCCAGGCGGCGGCCACTCCTCCTGCCTGGGCTCAGGGACGGGCTGCATAAGAGTGGTAAAATCGTGCTTCTAACATGTATTTGAGTTACTGCTCTTGCATGATGGCTTATCATTGCATATGTATGCTGCTTCTAGTCATTGCTCCCATTTTCTATTTCTAGTTTGTGCTTTACTTGAAACACAGCTAATCTTCATTGCTGTATTGGTTGGTTGTTGATATGGGTAGAATAGGCTGCTTTGAGGATGTCCCATCTTCATATCGATGATGCTGATTATATGGCAGAGGAGTACGAAATTGAAGATTTTGATGATGATATGGATGAAGATTTTCGTGATAGAGAGATGGGTGGATCAGATTCTGAAATTGAAGAATATGATTTCATGGTTGGTGATAATCCACCCCACTTTTTTTCACTTAATTTTCCTTTTCCTACGAGTTCTAGCAATCAGCCAATTTTTGATTTCTTCTGGATTTAGGAAAATAAATTTGCAGATACTTCCTCCGCCCAAGCTAGGAGAGGAAGAGACATCCAAGGCATACCCTGGGAAAGGCTCAGCATTACTAGGGAAAAGTACCGCCAGACTCGAATAGAACAATACAAGAACTATGAAAACATCCCCAACTCTGGTGAAGGGACAGAGAAGGTGACTGTAGTTAATCTTTTTCTCTTTTCTTTTAAAGTGCTATGTTAAGTTTTAAAGTTTATTTAATGATTATATAGTGATTGCTCCTTCCCTTTTACAACTAGGTATGCAATCAAACGAAGAAAAAGGGGATATATTACGACTTTAGACACAATTCAAGATCTGTGAAGTCAACTATTCTCCACTTTCAGGTTACTTTATCCAGATTGATTTATTTGTTCTTTTGGCCGTGATTCCTCCCCCCCCTCCCTCCCCCTCTTTGTAGTATGACAAGTATCTCATCTCATAAATCATGTGAATGGCTGGTCAGTGTTGTCTTTGTCATATTTGGCCACACTACCATTCTCTTTCATGTGTATGTGGTTGGAGCAAAACTCCTGGTTCTTTTCATATGTTTCTTTGTCTTCTAATCGATGTGGGCCAGTTCACTTATCAGTCATTGTTATTGGCTAAGGCAGCAGGGGGCTTTTCAGGATTACTCAGTTGGGAGGTTCAAAGGAACTGGGTTTAATGGTTGATCTATAATTTCCTTATCCTTTTTTAAGAGGACAACTTATCTTGTTTTATTTACTCCTTTTCCCGAGCTGTTAATGTAATCCTTAATTTTTTTTTTATAAAAAGTAGAGTAGTGTTAATAGCAAGAGTGGGAGAGGTAATGTTGGAGTGGTGGTGTTTGCACATATCCTTTTGTTTGTTTCATCACTATTGGACACTTCAGTACCATTTTCCTGCATATAGTTTTGTGATTACTAAGCCATTTGTTAATAAATTGCACAATTTTTTATAATTCTTGTATACCAACTTAGTTATTTACGATGTGATAAGGAAACTGATGAACTCTTTATCAAATACGTATCTCCTAACAGTTTGTGTTATTCCTCCTATGTTTCTTTAGTTTTTTGATACTTTTTCCCATTTCCTTATTTGGACATTAAAGGCTCCACTTAGAGTTCAATACCTTGAGTAAGGAGAAGTATATATGTAATGTGGCTATATTGGAATTTCCCTTCCCCATTGTTCCTCCTCCACCCCAAAAAAGTAGTGAATTTATACCATTACTTCCTCAATAGCCAAACATAAAATCACAAAACTCATATGGAAGGATAATTAGAACAATCTTATAAAACTGAGAGCAGGTGGAGAAAACCTCCTCAACTGCATAGCCTTCTAAATGCCTCTATAATCATTGGGAATTGATGATAGCAAAAATTTTCTTATGTCACCGGTTAGAAAATAATATTTCCTAAACAGAGATTTAGGGTATCCTTGCACTTATTTATAATGGGTTTTGAAATCAATGAGAACCTAGTAGAATGGTAAGATAATTGATGTGGTGTCGAAACGCACACAAATTAATAATAATTACCCTAAGACTACTAACTTGTAATTAGTGGAAGTAGAGGTCGATCCCACGAAGAATGTGATTGCAACAAACTAAGAATAAGATCCAGACTACTTAACTAAGACTCTAAGATGATAAAAGAAACGATTGGGGGGGGGAGTTTAAGGATAAGGAACAACTAATAACTAAATCTAACTACGCACTAAAGCTAACCGGAACAAAGAGCAGAAACACTAAAGGATATACTCAGCAACTATATATAGAAATCCACCATGCATATGTATAATCCCGGACATATTACTTAACCCTTTAGAATAGCTTGACTTATGGAACAAGTTCCCCTATTTTCCCTTAGTAATAGCTAGATCTGGTACGACTTTCACTAACCCTAACCAACAAATAACCCCTATACTACGAGCAAGGAATTTAACTTGATGATAGCATTAAGAACTAGGAAAACATTAATCCTAGACAACCACGACATTATTGGAATGCGATTTCACCTATATCAAGATTTACTTTACAATTAACAGAGTGGAACGTCCTCCTCTACAATTGGTTGCTACTTTATTAATGCTCCCAAGCAATTACGAACTTAGTTTCATTAATTAGCAACAGAAATCAGATCCAAACAAATAGTTGTACACCTACTTATAAGAAATCATTATTTATAGAAATAAGCAGCAATTCAAGAATACTCCAAAGCATTAATCTTTAAAAAACCAACAATACTCATCTCAAATACTAATTACATGGCTTCAAACTAATAGCTAAGGACTCATAACACAAAGATAAGGAAGGAAAATAAAGCAAGAACTCATCAAGTTAAGGACTCATAACACAAAGATAAGGAATTAAAATAAAGCAACTAACTCATCAAATTCCTCACATTTGGATCCGAGTTCCTCTCAGGTTGCTCCAAGTTCCTCCGTTGGAATGTATCACGAATAGTCTCTCTTTTCCAGCGTTTGCCACCCTTCTCCTTTCTTTATGATCTAATTTCATGGCTTTAAATAGGCTAAGAGATGAGTTGGAATCTTTCGAAGATAAGGAAATTAAGTAGATAAGATTAGGAAAAATATATCTCTTTCCATATCTTTATCCAATTGATAAGATCTTTGCTTTTATCAAATATATCTTTTCCAATTGCTGTAGATCTTGTAAATTACTCCACAAGACTTCCCAAATTCGCGGATTCAATGAACCTAGATGAACAAAACGTGCCCAATAAGTTCCTTTCCGCTTCATCAGTTTTCCAAGTTCCTTTGCAATAACTTTCATTCATGTTTGACATTGGCTCCTTTGTTTGGTTCATCTTTTTATCTTCCAAAACCACTCGATAACCTATACACCAAAGAGAAATAAGCTACACAATAACAAAAACCTAAATAAAGACACTAAAATGTTAAAGGAACTAACCTAAAATCTAAGGAACATAAATAGAAAATAGTGTCGGAAATGACACTCATCATAATCTTCATATGCTATCTCAATGTTATTAACGTACTCCTCTATTGGTTTGTGATAGTAAAACACTTTTCAAGCCTCAAAAGTTTTGCTAACTCATTTCCCATGGAGGCATAAATGTCCTTGGGGGGGGGGGGTGTTGTATTTGGTTTGCGAATTCTAGTATGGATGTATGGGCTTAAAATGGTCTATATTCATATCATGTGTTTGGTTGATATTAGTAAGAGTTTTAAACATATGCCTTAAACCCTTTAAGTATAGGCCTATGAGGTTTGGCTCATACCAATGCTCCTAGTATCAACTAAAAAGAGTTTATTTATTTATTTATTTATTTATTTATTTTTTTAAGAGGGGGGGGGGATTCTAGAAATGAAACAAACACACGGTACTAAGAATCATGTTCCAAACCCATGCAATCTTGTTCTTATTTTTTAATTTCACCTCATACCACTCTGCGGAACCCAATGGCCCCTCAAAGTGCTTTTGGGCTTGGCTTATTGGGTATATTGTGTTAACTAGTCTAATAATAAGGGAAAGATCTGTATAGAATGTTATGGAAGCAAGAGCGAATGTATTATGAAGAGTATTTATTAGGCCAAAAAGACCTTTTTAAGCTTTAATTGGTTGGGCAGAGGTTTTGTGATTAGCAAAGAATATATACATATATATATATATATGTATATATATATATATATACATATATATATATGTATATATATATATACATATACATATACATGTATATATACATATACATATACATATACATATACATATACATATACATATATATATACATATATATATACATATATATGTATATGTATATGTATATGTATACATATATATATACATATATATGTATATGTATATATATATATATATATATATATATATATTGTGGGAATTATTAAATTATGAGGAGGGCTTGTAATGATTAAAACTCGGCAGTGCTGGTGGGAGCCTTTGTTGAATCTTTTCGAAGTTTCTTTTGAACTTCCTTAATTGCTTTTCTGAGCTTAATCTTGCAGTGGACTGGCCACTGGTTATAATATTTGAGGGATCAGTTTCATGCACATATAAAACTTTCATATTTTTTCCGGCTGCTCATGTACTTTTTGGATGTCACTCATGTCTTTCAGCTTTGCTATTAATATTAGCAATGGTTCTATCGCTTAGCAAGCATCGTCTTACTTGATTTACTGTAGCATCAGTTGCTTTAGTGCAGAGATTGATTGTTAATGCATCATTGGTAGCATTACTAGCATGTGCCTTTTTCCCGAAGTCCATTGTCTAAACGGGTTGTCTCTAAAACTTTTGACTAGTATCCTTTTGCACAAGTTTGATTAGTCCTGTATAGGAATCTGAGCTAGTTCATATTTGAACATATAAACCCAAAAATATTAATATGCCTGCATCACAAGTGAATAGAAGCTGTAATAGAAAAGAATACCTTAAAGTATGATGTAAAATTTTATTAAACAATCATGCATTTCCTTGTGCTGGTGCAGTTAAGGAATTTGGTTTGGGCTACCTCGAAGCATGATGTATATCTCATGTCTAATTCATGTATTGTCCATTGGTCTTCATTGGCGCGTTGCAAATCCGAGGTTCTTAATGTCTCAGGGCATGTAGCTCCAACAGAAGTGAGTTTTGATCATGCAGAACTTGGATTCTTACCCCTTAAAGCATCGCCTACTATATGGTTGGAATTTACTTATGTTCATTGTATTGCAATACTCACTCCATCCGCCTAATGAGATATATTAAACTCTTATAACGACTAGTTCTGCACTATATGGGATGAGATGGATTTGTATCAGTCAGAAACTAATGTTTTCATATTGCTGTTTATCTAGAAACATCCTGGAAGTATATTGGAAGGATTTAGTCAAACCCAAGTCAGTACTCTTTCTGTCAAAGATAATTTGCTAGTTGCTGGAGGATTTCAGGGGGAACTTATTTGCAAGGTTAGACCACATTTCTTCTATCAATCATATTATTTTGTTTTGTAATTTGAATGAGCTATACTTGCATTTTTCATGACATTTTCAGGTAACATGAAAGACCACTGTATTTACTTTAGTTTGCTGCCTTTTTTATCCTCTTGGTAGTCCCTTGGAAACTTAGAAGGATCATCTCATTGACTAGACAATTCACCGGAAAGATTTTGGTCATGCTATAACACAAGATAGAAATATAGAATCATCACAAATATATACTAAATGCTATATTGCAAACTGAACTGGCAGAATTTGGATAGATCTGGAGTCAGCTTCTGCACTCGGACCACATATGATGATAACGCTAATACTAATGCTGTTGAGATCTATGCCTCTCCCAGGTAGCTGGGGAATTTTTCCTGTGCTGTTTTTCCCCTCTTTCCGTTTGTAAAATACTCCATTGCAAAGATTTTCACTTATCAAGTTCTCTTTCAATATTGTTTCTATTGCAGCGGTGCAATTCATTTTACTGCCTCCAATAATGATTCTGGAGTGAGGGACTTTGACTTGGAGAAGTTCCAGCTTTCAAAGCATTTTCAATTTCCTTGGCCAGTAAATGTTAGTCAGCCTTTTAATCTCCCATTTCAACTTTCATGGGAGTCTTTAGCTTCTTTAACTTGCTGATTCTTATCTTCTTATATGTATATGCTAGTTCCCTCCCCTCCCCAGCGGTGGGGGGGGGGGGGGGAGGGGTGACAACACTTGGTCCACGGCAATCATGAGGTGGATGTTTTCTAACATATATGGCCTGGTATAACCTCACCCACATGCTTTGTGCAGCTATGCTGAATGTTTCTACAAATGAACAATATATATAAAAAAAGCTCAAGGTACACTGAGGTTATTGGGATCCAGCTGTGTGACGTGTCTACGCATGCTTTGGGTGCACCTCATTGAAGTTCGGTACACTTAATGAATAGTAGGCGAGCAAGTTTGCGAAGACGCTTAGAAAAGTATTCAAGAACAAATGGAACGCTTTCTATTTCAGCAACAAGCATATAGAAATCAATCTCTCTTGGTTTTTTTTTTTTTAATTGATAAAAAATGCCGTTTTTCAAAGAGTATCCGTCGCATATAGGCTTTAATTTAAAGGCATGTAGTCTAACCCTTGAAGTGAAGTGATGACCTAAAACAAAAAATATTGGAGCAAAATCTAAAGCTGTGTGCCTCGGGTGTGCCTTGTTGAATGCGTTTTGCCTAGCTCAATAAGAGTTGTGTACCCCATTTACTTAATTCCATAGCGCCTTAGGTGCACTCTTTTATACACTGTCTATGAAGCATGGATATGTCTGCCCCTCCGTTATTTCAACATTGCCAAACCATATTGAACACCAGAACATGTATAATGTGAAATTCACCCCAAAAGGCAATGTTGGCAGCATGGCTATCTATTTATTTTGAGTTCTTGGGAAGTGAGGATTGCAACATGTCAAAATGGGCGTTTAGGTCACAGTGCATATTTTGTTGCTCAAAAATGGCAAAAGAGAGAAAGATATGTAATTTAGTTAATTAACATACCTAAACATAGCCTTAGGATGTTGAACCAGGCCCTTCTCTTTGTCATCTGATCTGGTGGGGCTTTGCTGTAAAAGATTTTTCCAGCATCAATACAATAATACAATTCATTTGGCCTGTTAAGTATCATTTTTGGTGGATTTCTCTCTGTCATGGTTTCGTTTTTCTTTCATTCCACTCTTGATTAGGTCATCTTTCAGCTTAGATGATGTCTGGTTAATAAGTGGAGTTGGCTACATTGTTTATTTTTTTCTTTTACTATGCTTTTATTTTTAGGAAAATTTGCTAAGAATAAAATGACCTTTCACCGGTCTTCCAATAATGGAACCACCTTTTGATTATCTCAAAATAACACGACCTTTAACGTGTATCTTCTCAAAATGGAACAAAAAACCGGTAACCTATTTAAAAGGTTAAACCGGACAAGTGTCGCATTGTTATTGGTTAGGATTTTTTTATAATTTATAATTTTTTTCCATTTTTAAAAAAATTGATTTTTAATTAACTTCTTTTTTTTTTTTTTTTTTTAAAAAAGTCTTAAAAAATGAAAATCAAAACCTTTTTCTCTCCTCCATTCCCCGACCACCTCTCCAGCCCCGTCCCCTTTACGTTACCGTCAAGTCGCTGGACACACCCTTGACCCTCCCCATTTACCGTCGGTCACCGTCCATCCTCTCCTCGCCACCCCTGCCGTTTACCGATTAGACCGCTTACCAGCAGTCGTAAAAACTCTCCAAAACTAACCCATCCCAAACCCTCTTCTCCACCCTAAACCAACGGAGTGGGTGCATTTCGGGGAGGGGAGAGTGTTTCGGGGTGGGTGCAATGGATAAGAGACTCTTTGGGAGTGGTTTGTGGGTGTAAGGAGGTGGCTGCAGGGTAGGTTTCAGGTGGCTATGGGGTGGATTTCGGGGGCGAGGGGTGGTTTTGGGGACTTCTAGGTGGGTTTCAGGAGGGTAGTGGGGACGGGGAGGGGACGAGAGGCCGGTTTGCTGGTGGTTTATGGTGGGGGAGAGACATGTTAGGGGTTTATTTAAAAGGTTTTTGTTTATTTTAATTTCAAGGTTTTTTTAAAAATAAAATTGACCAATGACATAGTGACATGTGTCGCAGAAGGTTACCACGGGTCACTTTCCGTTTTAGAAGATTTGTGTCAAAGGTCGTATTATTTTGAGATAATCAAAAGGCCATTCCATTTTGGAAGACCGCTGAAAGGTCGTATTATTCTTGGCAAATTTTCGTTTTTTTAATTTTATTCTTAAGGTGAAAAGGAAGTGTCTTTTCTTTGTCCTCAATTAGAAGGGTTGTTTTCTTTTATTAATGATAGAAATGTGCTTAATTTAAAGCTTTTGACATATTCATAAACAATTCAACTTTGCTATATTAAATTAAATTGCTGTGAATGTTGCCTCAAGTTTTCCTTTTTTTTGTAGAGAATTTTTTATTTTCTCAATTCCAATACAATGCGTGCAACATACTTTATTACTCCCTCCATTCTTTTTTTGTTCTACCCACTTTCTATTTTAGGTCATTCTTTTCTGTTCTACTCACTTTGCTTTATTGTATCTATGGCATACCCCTTTTACCATCTTACCCCTTCAACCCCACAATAATTGCACCTTTCCATGCTCCCTTTCTTACTTTACTCTTTTCTTACATAAATCCACCTTTTTACATTCTCTATCTTATTTATCTTATAACTTTTCACATTCTTTAACAATTTCCTAAATTGCATACCTATAGGAAGTGAGTATAACGTAAAAGAACATAGGTGGTATTTTGGTGTATATTTTTGTCATTCTTTCTCATGATAGAGCTCATCTAGTCCTCTATTATCTTAAAAAGTATTAACTGTGAGCATGAGAGTTCTAGGAACAAGGAATTTATGTTTAGGGAGTTTTAAATGCACCTAGACGCAGTGTTACCCATACTTTTGTTAAGCTGAGTAGAAAGTAGGATACCTATCAAGAGAACATGAGTGGTAAGACTAAAAACTAGGATTGGCTTGAGAACTTCAGTATTTGTTTTATTACATGATGCTCCTTTTTTGTGCCATAGTGGCCAAATATGAGATTTACGAATGAGAAAGCTAACAACATTATAAATTATACAAACAGAGATGTATTTGCTTCCTATTCCTACTTTTCTTTCAAAACATGGGACAAAGAACATAATTTATTCTCTGAATGAACTGCTAGACATTGGGCTCCTTGATGCCTTACTTCCATAAGGCCCTTAGTATTGTATATTCAACTACTTGGAGGAATCTAGTAGCAAATTTTTGTTCCTCCCTTGCGAAAAGTTGCTCCATCTTTCATTTAGACTCATCCAGTGCCCTAATCACTAAAGGCCCTTTTCTTTTTGTTATGGACTGACTTACTCAAACTCACAACACTTACAAGATAGCAGCAAGAAAGAGATTACTTTTCATTAATAAAGGGTAATTTCAAAGAACACAATTATTTGATAGCTTTAGCCTATCACTCTCTAACCAAGATAACTTGAGGTTATCACTCTCTCTAACAACTTGTCAAACTCAATTTCATAATTTCAATATTCAAAAGGCATACCCTTCCCTTCCTACCCTATTCTTTATATATACAAAACAGATTACAAGTAATCTCTTAATGGTGTTTGTCTTCTAGTTCATTTGCTTTTCTGCTTTTCTTTTCTTACTCCAAAATGTCGAGGTTGACTCTCTCTCTTGACCCCTGAAACTTCCTTAAGTAGCTTTGTCCTCTATCTCCAAACTGGTGTCTTGCTTTTTGCTCCATCTTTCATTTAGACTCATCCAGTGCCCTAATCACTAAAGGCCCTTTTCTTTTTGTTATGGACTGACTTACTCAAACTCACAACACTTACAAGATAGCAGCAAGAAAGAGATTACTTTTCATTAATAAAGGGTAATTTCAAAGAACACAATTATTTGATAGCTTTAGCCTATCACTCTCTAACCAAGATAACTTGAGGTTATCACTCTCTCTAACAACTTGTCAAACTCAATTTCATAATTTCAATATTCAAAAGGCATACCCTTCCCTTCCTACCCTATTCTTTATATATACAAAACAGATTACAAGTAATCTCTTAATGGTGTTTGTCTTCTAGTTCATTTGCTTTTCTGCTTTTCTTTTCTTACTCCAAAATGTCGAGGTTGACTCTCTCTCTTGACCCCTGAAACTTCCTTAAGTAGCTTTGTCCTCTATCTCCAAACTGGTGTCTTGCTTTTTGCTTGGCTGAAGGTCTGTCTCCCTTGTCTTGCTTTGGTCTGCTGCTGCTGAAAGTGGGTTACGGTGCCTCTTCCTGGTGTACACAGCCCACGGCTGATGAGTCATCACACTTTTGGGCTTATTTTCAGTTCAGCTCATGTCAGCCCATTTCAGGGCCTTATTCTTGCCTTTCCTCTGTTCCAAGCCCTTTCCTCTCAAATACATACTTCACTGCCCTTTCCCATGCTATGAAGTCTGATAAGCCCTTTCCAAGCCACTTTTAATTTTCAACCTTTTTCAAGTTTCCAAACTCTGATTTATCATGCTATGTGACGGTATGTCCTAAGACTGATCCATCAAATAATCAGCTGCCCAAACTTCCACCTTGTCCTTGGTGGATAATATTTGGCATTGAATTTCTGACCTCGTTAGGATGGGTAGTGTCATCCTTGATGTCTTGCTTCCACTATTCTTCAAGCTCCTCTTTGATAATTTTTTTTTATCACCACTAGTGGCCTTGGTGGAGTTAGTGGCATATAGGCTGGTTTGGAATGTAAAATGGAGGGTGAAATGTTTGGCGGCTTTGAGAGGGCCGGGAAAATGGGCCTAGGATTGGTAAAACTAGTTAAGGGCCTAACATTAATAGAAGACGTAATTGGTGTAAGATGGGTAGGCTCATTTTGTTGGCTTACTTCCCCAAATTTATATGGGTTCACATTCATATCTTTTCTTATTTCAAGTATGTCAAGTGTCCTTGCCTTGATTTATATCTTGACCCAAAAAACTTAACCTCAGCCAACAATCGTGATGTCATCCTTAATGATTCTTACCAAA